CATGAGCGTACCGATAGCCAATTTCAAGGGGGCTACCCCCGCCGCAGATTTGATTTTTTTGTTGATCTTTTAATGTAATTTTTTTTAATTAATGATATTAATAACAAGTTTAGCCCCTCCAAAAAAATTTAGCCCCTCCATTACATATAAGCTGGGTCCGCCTCTGCATGCAGGTGTCCTCGAGTCTCAGACATGAAACGTGGCCGAAACGCGAATATGTTGAAAAGTTGAAATTTTCGTGATACGCAGTGGCTCCAATATGAGGAAAATTAGACTTTAGAGTTTGGACTCCCTTACTTGTGTGTGATATGAATTTTGGAATTCAAGTTTATTTTCTAGTTACATATTTTTTCTCAAAAATTTCAAGTACAGTTAAACCTCTATAAATTAATACAGTTGGAATCATCAAAATCCTATTAATTTAGCGAAATATTAACTTATCGATAAATGAATAATTATTAATTTATACATGAATTAATAACTTATTAATTTATGGAATTATTTTTATTATTATTTTCAGTAAATACATTTTTTTAATTTTTTGACGTGTATATTATTCATTTTACCATTAGTTCAATGCACTATAGAGCCCTTTTCACAAACGGAAATTCTTAAAACAACAATGGTATTGAACAATTTTCTTTTAAGTTATGAGAAAATTATAGAAGAAGTTCTAACCACGTGGTAATCTGAACTTCATCAAGAAACAAGCTACAATTAAATTATATTTTACTAAGCATTCATAGGTTTATAAATATGTATTGTATGATGTAATTTAAGAATTATTTTTATGCATTATTAATTTATATATTATATGGGGCTTCTTAAAATATTCGAATGTGTATTATCTTATAAATTTAGCGAATTATTAATTTAGCACGTTGTCCCCGAGTCGGAACCGAGAAAATTTATTATTTAAGCGAGGTTATTAATTTATCGGGTATTAATTTATCGAGGTTCTACTGTAATTGCAAAAAAAAAATTCCCTTTTGTCTCTTCGTATCTGGCTATAAGAAAAGCATTATTTCGCCCCTTGTTCCCAAAATCGACAACTTTGGATCTTCAAACACATAAAATAAAAGGATGATGTTGGGCCATATATGAATTAAACTATTCAACTCGCCGTACAAAGCTTGGAATCGCATGCTCTGAAATTTTTAGTTGCTAAATATCCTATGAAATTTATCTTTTGTGTCCTCACGATTGTCTACTTCAAATAGGTTAACCTGTCTTGCATTCATTGGTGTGTCTAAAAATTTGTTATAGGCTAAGCTTAAATTTGTGGGGACTCGGAGTCTGTGAAGAAAATATAGGACACAATCAGAAAATAGGAAATAACAAAAAAGTTACGATTTTGTTTTTTCATTAATTTGAGTTTTGGGTTGGCTATATAATAAAAATTGCGTGGGCTAAAAGATATACGTATAATATGATGATGACAAATTTGTAATTGTACCCTGGCCATATAATGGGCTCGCAAATGGTTGTATCCGACAAAATTCACCGGATTATATCTTACTATACATGAATATTTTCACCGAGTTTTGGTACAGAGGCGAGGTCAGGATATGACTAGGATGGACTCAAGTCCGCCCTCAATTAAAATTTATTCCATTAAATTATACTTATAATCGTATTTAATCCACCTTACTTTTATTAATTAGTCTACTGAAAATTCAAATTAATGCAAAAAAAGGGCTATTTTTTTTTTTCCTGAGACACTGCCCTTCAACCCTCTGAAAATTAAGTCCACTGTATAACAAATTTCTGGACTCACTACTAACTATGTAGCGTAATTCAAAAGCTCGTCGTTTACGAAGACATAATGTTGTAGTTTCTAAACCTAATTCTAGTTGTTTGAGGATGCCAAACGCGTAAGGTTGCTTAAAGAATCGTGATTACCTTAAAATTAATTTGTGGAATGTAGTTACGATGCGTCTTATTACCTGCGGGTGTCTACTATCT